GTTATACTTTTTCAAAAGGTTACACACCTTAAGATTACATATGTCTGCCGCCAAAATTTCTCAGGGGAAATCTTTTTTGAGCTTCAGGTTTATTAGCTGTCCATGGACATCGCTCACAAACACGTATTGCAGCGAGACGGGAAACAGCCCCGACACAAGTTATCGCGTAAAGAATGTTCTGCCGCTTAAAGTGGATCGCTTAAGTGACCGTGATAAATTCATTATGACATATTTTATTGCGACGGAGTTGAAAGGTATGTCTGTCTGTGTTGTTATGCCTTTGATGCATTGTTGAAGACTCAAAGCTGAAATTAGTATCTTGTAAAAGAAATTAATCCCTCTCATCGCGGTGATACAGTTGGTGTGTTCTTTAACGCTTCTAGGTGACGGTGACAGGGCGTTGTCATCGATAAAGAGTGAGTGAGTGAGTATGGTTTTACGCCGCTTTTAGCAATATTCCAGCAATATCACAGCGGGGGACACCACGAATGGGCTTTAACCACTACGCTACCCCACCGCCCCTCATCGATAAAGAGATTATGTAAAATATATAGAGATTATTATCCATATGGCGGAACATAAGTCATGCCATATGTTCAATATGTGAACTAGTGCACATATCACTTTTACCTAGCAACCATTGTTTCTGTATTTCGTCGTCTGTGACGTCATTAAACAACTGAACGTGACGTCAATGCACAGGGGCAGTCACACTTGCCTACCGTGTTTTACTGCACAAATGTACATGAATAAAATGGATAACAGAGAAATTATTACACTCTGACGTGTGATATGCGATTTATTCGAAAGTCATGCAAAATTATTATCAATACACAATTCCACACTCTTTTCGTGTAAATCGTATGACACACCTGCTCGTGTAAAAATCTCTATATGTCACCCGAGTGTCTTTTGACGTCAAATATATCAAAACGAGTTGATAAAGTTACAAATATCGGAGGCTTGACGAGGATATTTTTACTTTTATCAACGAGTGTTGATGTGTTTGATATCAGAAGACACGAGGGTGAGATTCTATTTATCATAAAAGTCACTCTTCATAAGTTTTCAATGAAAAATTTACATCTCTGAACACTAGACTTGCAGTGCATCGATGTCATAGCATTATGACGTCATCAAGTTCATGACGTCATAGCATTGTCAGGGCATTGTACAAAATCTACTATCAAAGATAATGTCTCCTGTGGAAGACAGTTTTGGATGATAAATTATTTGTTTACATACATTATATAGAAAGTTTAAAAGCACGTAATTTTCATTTTCGCCGTTGAATACAACATACACATCGTAATCGTTTAAAAATGGAATTATCTGTGACATAAAAAAACATGTATGTCCCATGTCAGTGTCGAAGAGACGAACATAACTTCAGAGGCAGTTCAAACGAGACTTACGCGGCCCCAAATCGAAAGGGTTATTGGAATGACCTGGGCCTAGATTTTCGAAGCTCTCTTAGCGCTAAGACAGTCGTAAGTTAATGTTAATGTATGGCACTTACGACTATCGAAGCGCTAAGAGAGCTTCGAAAATCTAGGCCCAGGATTTTACGAACTTAATTAATTGTAGTTTAGGGTGATGCTGTAAGCTATGTCGTAATAAAATTATGCTTGACACTAAAATGTACACTGTAAATTCTCAACAAATGAAAAGTCAATATGTAAACTTAGGTGGATATTGAGACCACAAGCAGACGGCAGAACAGCATGTTTGATGTCCATGACGTCACGAGGCAGGGTCAAAGATATGTTCAGCGAAATGTTTCCCATGATGACTTGTCTGATCCGTTTTGTGGGTAGATGGCTTGAAATGCATATTGGGATATAAATCAAACAAGTCATGGAGAGCTCTCCAGTGCTGGACCGCCTCCGTGGTGTAGTGGTAAGAGCGTCCGCCCGGAGAGCGGAAGGTCGCGGGTTCGATCCCCGACCGCGTCATACCAAAAGACGTTAAAATATGGTACTTGTTGGTCCCTGTCTGGCACTCGGCATTAATGGGTACAACAAGGACTGGTCGGCTCGGAGTCAGTATAATGTGTCTGAGTGGGGTATCCATGCTTCACTGCGGCATGGTATCTCAGTGGGCTAGCACTATAAAACCAGCTTCAGTCTGGGCTAGTACAAGCAGCCGCACATACACATACACACACATGCACGTCGTCATATGAGCGAAATATTCTCAAGTACGACGTTAAACCCAATTTCACCTCACCTCACCTCTCCAGTGCTATAAAGTTTGTTCGCGCAGCTCTATCTCTTCTGTCTGGTGGGAAAGTGGGGTAACTTAATGGCTAAAGCGTCCGCTCGTCAGACTGAAGACCCGGGTTCGATTCCCCACATGGGCACAATGTGTCAGCCCATTTCTGGTGTCCCCCGCCGTGATATTGCTGGAATATTGCTAAAAGCGGCGTATTCCTATACTCACTCACTCCTCTGTCTGGCCAAGTTCGGACTGCTGTTTGACTCTCCTGTCGTCGCTCTTCGTGTACAAGTGTCCCTGTAAAATTCCCTGTTTACGATGTCGCGCTTGTAGTAGTTGGTGTCGTGACCGGATGGGACACCGTCGTTCCCGGAATAACAATTATCAAAGGAAATGGCAGCATTAGAAAACTGCCCGGTGTTTCTGTGAAGATGAAGCAGTTGTGTAAATATATGAGATTCCCGTCAGCTGGAGCGGTGGAGCTTCCATAAAACACGTGGAATTGATTGGACGAACGTCCGCCAAACTGCGGTGTAATCCGGAGTGAATTGTTGGACTCCTCAACCCTGCTGTGAAGATATATTGGAAGCGTCACAACTGCTACAATACAAATCTGTGGGCATGAGGTCGTGCAATCCATGAAACAATGGATTTGCTTGTTAAGTTACGTCACTCCTCGCGAGCCTCATCTGTTCAGTTGCTGTTTTGTGTGTTGTTTAACTCTGCGCTCACCAACGAATAAATAAATAAATAAATAAATAAATAAATAAATAAATAAATAAATAAGATAAATAAATAAATAAATAAATAAATAAATAAATAAATAAATAAATAAATAAATAAATAAATAAATAAATAAATAAATAAATAAATAAATAAATAAATAAATAAATAAATAAATAAATAAATAAAATAAATAAATAAATAAGATTTTGCATAGATGCAATTTGTGAAGCTCATATCTTGTGTCCCCCGCCGTGACATTGCTGAAATATTCTCAGAAGCGGGGCAAATCTATACGCACTCAATGATACAAAACCCACATCATTCGTTAAATGTGAAGAAACAAATCTTCATTAAGCGGCTAATACATTTAGTTCAGCATATCAAACATATTTTCTCTCTAGTGCACATATAGATTCGGCAACTATTACACAATGTATTATTTTTAATGTTCCTATTGGAAAGTTGTATCAATATCGTTGTTATTAACGGCTTAAAATGCATGATGTTGTAGCCAAGAGGTTAAAGCGTTCACTCATCACGCCGAAGATCCCGGTTCATGGGTACCATGCTTGAAGCCTATTTCTGGTAATCACAGCTGTGATATTGCTGAAATGTACATAAAGATGGCGTAGGATCATACTCATATACTCAAGAAAACATATCTATCCGGAGAAAATCCCCATTATCACACAGCCCTTCAGTAAGGAAATCACAAATAAATTACAACAAAATTTTCCTTTGTTTTAATTGGCAAATAAACACGAACTCGTTTTGATGACCGACATGGAAACTGTCACAAAGACTGACTTCGAAGATACCATTTCCATCCCAACACACCTCCTATAATCCCTAAATCCCGCAATGATGAATTCCTACGAGGATAAGTGGATGTTTGACGACTTGACAATTGCTCCGTGTGATTTATCTGATGTTAACACGAAAGCTACCAGTTGATGTCTCTATACAAATACCAAGCGACTTCAATCTTGATTGAGATCGGTGTATCTGTGTAATATAAACATGCACCAGCTCAATCAATCACTGTAACATTTAATGCCTCGCACTCAATAATCAACAACCCCGAACATCAAACCCGACACGTGGACAGTTAAGTTGAAAGTAAGACTGACGAGAATTTCGTGCAAAACATGCGTTGTCAATTTCAAATCACGAGGCAGAGCTAAGAGTTACGACTTGGGCAATCAGGCTCAACCGGCACTGCGTTTGGTTAAAACCATATTATTTTATTTCATATTCGTTATTGAGGTCATTTTAGGAAATATTTTTATGAGCTTGGTCGTGATTTGTTAAGGCTCACCCCACTAACTGTGTATTTTTAACAGTTCTAAATAATTAATTTCAGTGGCTATTTTCAGCTCGAAAATGCTCTTAGGTATTTATGGTTCTGAGTGTCGAAGGTTGTATTTAGTGTACACGAATGTGGCTCGATTTGATGAAAAGTAATTAAAGTACTTTCAACCTGTAAGGATTGAGTGGGTTTTGTGCAATGCCGGTTTGAAAAGTATGCAAGTTATATTACGTTGTCTGCTTGATGTGAAGGTTAAAGAACGACTCCTCACCTGTGGTGGAGGAAGTAAGGTCGAACAAGACGGTGTCGGAAAGGTAAGACCGAGGACTGAGTAATATTGTTTTGCATCGTAGAGACCTGTTTTATATGGAACTGAAGTCAAAACATAGATTACACAACAGTCTCGTTTCCTGCTGACTGGGTTCCGTCATTTTGCGCAACTTAGTGCAATAACCAGTGCAGAATTTTTAGACGAACTCATTCAACTGGATATATAAATATTTATCAGTATTATTTGATACATCTAATCACTTGTATGTTGCAACACTACGTTCCTTCTAATCCTTGCAAACACGTCTATCAAACTTTAGGGTGTTCCCATGCCTTTTTTGTTTGTAGTATATTTTCGGTTTTTCTAAAAGTATCAGACCCGTGAAGAATCGGGTTTGAATTTGTCTTCAGCAATCCATCCTTGTGGGGTGGTCAGGCTGGCTGAATTAGTTGATGCACGTCATCGTATAAATGTGCAGGTTCTCATGATGTCAATCACTGGATTGTCTGGTCCAAATGCGATTATTTACAAACATCCGTTATGCAGCTGGCTTGAAACGGCTCATTCGTAGCTACTCGCCCCTTTCCGTAACCTGGAGGAAGACTGGTACCCCTCTCGTAGCCATTTTACTGAACTTGATTCTGTCTGAGCGCAAAAGCGGAGAGAGAAAGAAATAGTCTAGTCGCCGAACTGGAATTATAAGGGCATGTAACTCTAGTTCACTTGGTAAACAAACATAGCATCCACACCAAGGAGTGAGTGAGTGAGTTTAGTTTTACGCCGCACTCAGCAATATTCCAGCTATATGGCGGCGGTCTGTAAATAATCGAGTCTGGACCAGACAACCCTGTGATCAACAGTATGAGCATCGATCTGCGCAATTGGGAACCAATGACATGTGTCAACCAAGTGAGCAAGCCTGACCAACCGATCCCGTCCACACCAAGGAAATTACCTCAACATGCTTCAATACTTTCCTGCGCCATAATGTTCATATATCCCGATTATCAAAATGCAGGAAACCCAGGAGGACTATGCAATAATTCAAATATACTTGAAGTGTCTAGGAAAAAATTATGCACGCCGAAAGGAAAATTATTTCAACTAACTATTTTGACCCAATTTCTTCTCTACATGCGCGCATTCTGATTGGCTTGGGGAACATTTCTCCCGAACATGGCTGCGAGAGGGGTACGGGTCTTCTTTCAGGTTACGGAAAGGGACGAGTAGTTACGAATGGAAGCGGCTATAGGTCTCTGCAAAGTACAAAGTTTCAGAGTGTGGCGTTACACAGTTAACAATGTTGACAAATCTAAAAGTAAAGACACAATTAAGTAGTTTCCGGAATGTGAGAGCTCCTGATTGGAGAAAGACCAAAATGTAAACTTCCCCGAGACTTACATCACGATAAATTCCCCAAAGGGGTTATTCATCAAATGTTACGAACCTGCACATCAAAGGCAAAATTCGCTGTAGGTTTATAGGGATTGAAGTCGAAAGCGATGCAAGTCATAAAGGTTATCTCCCAATTGAAAGACACCCAATTGACAGACACTGAACTAGAAGGTTAATTAGGGTAACACCTATGGGTATAATGGAACAGTCCACTGTCAGGTGAGAAGAGCCTGAAACAGGTTCGTTACTGAGAAGTTTGATTGTGGGTAAATAGAACTTTGTTGTGATTAAATAATAAATGATTTCTCTTCTCAAAATTGATTTTACTATCAATTACTATCGAATATAAAACAGGTTTGTCACTGAGAGGTTTGATTGTGTTTATTGATAGAAAAGACCCCTCCCAATAATAGCATTTATCTTACCTCACACATAAATGTCGCTTTCTGATTGGCTGAGCGCTCTTCTATTATTTTTTTTCAATGTACCCCGCTTACAAGCGAGTAACATTTCAATGTACCCCGCTGTCAATGACAACTCATTCTGTACTTCGTGGTAGTAATTATTTACCTCGAATAACATCGAATCACGTATGATGTACGGGAATTACCGATGTTTTGCGAATGCAAATAGATGGAAGGGGAGATAACTCTCAATCTGTGTTTCTTGTCAGCAAAATCTAGCGATGGCTACAATATAAGTTGTTCACTAATCACGAGGGGGGCATGGGTTGATGTTTGTTTATGTTCCTTGAGCCCGAAGGCTCAATCTAAAGATTATAACAGTTTGTGTCTTTGAGTAGTATACCATGGACATTCAAGGAAGTAATGAAAAAACATTCTCACATCCATGGCCACATTTACATGATGCGTCATATTTTAAATATTTATTCGAAATAAATCGTAATTAAGTTCACTCGTCATATATCTTATTATTGTGTGCAAAACGTATAACTTCTTTATTCCATATGAATAATATTTAGGTTCATATTTGTCTTTATTTGATTTTTATGATACAACAGTGTCGCAATTTCTAATAGCTATGCCAATGTTTTCAATATGATGATGTCGACTCCAGTTAGACCAGATGGTTAAACCGAAATGAAAATAAACTGTTTTTATATTGTTGCAATAAAAATTCAAATAACTGTCTTTTCGTCCATCTCTCAAAGTAAATAATATAGTTTCAGTTTGTTCCTGTGTTTTTATTTGGACTATTCCATTATAATGTGTAGGTAACAGGTAGTAGATAATCTGTTCACTGAACCGTAAATGTTGTCGAAACATCTTCATTCTCCGCAGGGAAATTGCTGGAATATTGTTGAAGGGGGCATAAAGTCGTACTCACTCACTCACTCACCCTATTCTTGAACTCAAAAACAAAATGTCGTATTGACCAGAATACAACTGAAATTATAAGAATCCTAATTTTGACTAAATAACACTCTTCACGATGCTGTTAAACAGTTGTCGATATCACCTCATGACCATAACGACATCTGAAGACGCCTTCAGTGTCACCTAATTGCCATAACGACACCTTAAGACGCCTCCACCTAATGACATGATAACACCCATCAGGTCTCCACACTCAATATGTTGTCAATCACAGATGAGACGTTCACGTTCTGCTCGTGTGGTTTGTGCAAACTTGACAGACTAATTTGTCAATTGCAGAATTCAAGAAATTATATTGACCCCTCGATTGAGAGCGGAAGGCCAGAGTAAGTGAGTATGGTTTTACGCCGCTTTTAGCAATATTCCAGCAATATCACTGCGGGGAACACCAGAAATGGGCTTCACACATTTTTCCCATGTGGGGAATCGAACCCGGGTCTTCGGCGTGACGAGCGAACGCGTTAACCACTAGGCTACCCCACCGCCCCGCGGAAGGTCAGACGTTGGAACGCCTCTAACGTTTATCAAAGACGTTAAAAGATGGGACTTGTTGTCACCTTGCCTGGCGATCGACATAAAGTGAGTGAGTGAGTTTAGTTATAGGTCCCTTTTACCAATATTCCAGCAATATCACGGCAGGGGACACCAGAAATGGGCTTCGCACACTGTACCCATAGGAAGAATCGAACCCGGGTCTTCGACGTGACGATGGAACGCTTTAACCACTAGGCCACCCCACAGCCTCGGCCAGCTAAAAGGGACAAAACACGGACTGGTTGATGACAAACTATACTGGGTCAGAGTGCCATGTTTAACTCCAGCATAGACTCTCAGTGGGCTATCTCTATAAAACCGACACACGTCTGGAGTAGAACACGCAAATGAATATTTGATGGTGATGCAGTTGCTTCTGGAGTTGCAGTTATGTGTCGGCGAGTTAGTCCGCCGACTCTCTTCAACAAGTAACGTTTTTGAATGATTTGCACTTTTTGCCACTTCCAATTTTCAAGTTGAACTTTTTTTTCATCCGACAGTTTTAGGAACCATCTGCTTCTCGGAAACAAAACAACATTTATCTGTGCGCAGATCTTAAATGTCAAACCTCACTTCCCATCGAGACGTATGATAGTATGTTAGCATATAGTTTGAAATATTTATACTTTAAAATACAAAAAAAAAATACAAACAATACGCTTTTGTTAATTAATTTTGAATGTATATTAACGCGAGATAAAAACACAAGAAACATTAAAAAAACAACAACAGATTTAAACACTAGATGCAGATATTGAGTGCTTGTCCAGAGCATGTGTGGAATATTTTTCGAAAACATAAAATAAAAATTAACTTACCCTTACAAAATCTTGTTCAAGGTTCAGTGAGTGAGTGAGTTTAGTTTTACACCGCACTCAGCAATATTCCAGCTATATGGCGGCGGTTTGTCAAGGTTCAGATAAAAATTGAAATGATCAAATCCTCTCAAGTTTGTCTTGAGACTGAAAGAAGGGACAACCTACATTACTCTGTCAAAGGCGTTTGGATATCCTAGTGGTTAAAGCGGTCGCTCGTCACGCCGAAGACCCGGGTTCGATTCCCCACGTGGGTACAACGTGTGAATACGATTTCTGCTGTCCCCGCCGTGATATTGCTGGAGTATTGCTAAAAACGGCGTTCAACGAAACTCACTCACACTCATCTGTCAACGCGACTCATGATTTGAGCGCTCTCTCGTCCCGCCGTGTTCGTTTCCAAGTGATTCGATGTGTAAAGCCCAGTTTTGTATTTCCACCGTGGTATAGCTCTAAAATTGCTGAAAGCGCCGTAAAATAATATTCACTCACAACAGGAAACATTGCTGATTGCGCTTAATCATAAAGTATTCAGACAGCGTTCATATTTAGTGTATCTACGGTTGGTTTGCCCGGTCCAGATTCGATCGTGATAGGCCGTCGAAGCATGCCTATATTACTGTTGACAGAAAAGTTGTGGCGGGAATTAATCACTATCCTTGTGTTATCGTCAACGTGAACGACTTCTCAGCTGATTGAGGTTCACGTTCAGCACTGAATGCGACGTCATGCACAACGATGTCTCACTTTATGGAAAATGTGTCGTATTTCCCAGCTGATGGAGTTTCACTTTAAGTATTGGCTGCTATTCCATGCACAAAGATGTCAAACCTTCCGGGAAATGTGTTGCATTGTGACGACAAAATAGACAGTTTTCGGACTGTCGGAGTCAGTCTGTGTTTGTTTTTCCAAGAGACTCGCGATTACATAACTAAATCGGTGGTTGTGTAAACACGCCCACATTTGATCGATAAATCCTCCCGCAAACTGTCCCCGTGTATTTTGGTAGCGATTTCCCCACTCTTCCAAACAATATCCTCTGTCAAAGGCAGCGTTCCCCGATGTCGGATATATTTACATGTAATGGATTACTGATGCTAGTTGTCAGTTACATAATGAGGACGAGTTTCACTCCAACACGAACACACAAAACAGGAATCAATTTCTTTTCCTCTGGTGATATACATTATACGTCGAACACGCCAGGCAGGATGCGTGAGGTCATTTGAAGGCGTCATGTTGACAAGCGATGACTATCGGTGTAATTGGTACTGATAGGTAGGTAGTTGTGGTTGCGGTCGTCGTAGCGGGAGACGTTTACAGAGGCAGTGGTCCTGCCGCAGTGGCA